ACCCCTGGAATGTCCTTCTGGAGACCATGGGAATCCATCTTTTTAAATGATGCAAATAATACATTTAATAAATTGGTAATTAGGAATTGGTTATCTATCAGCTTGACCTATTCTTAAGGAGGTGAATGTAAATATACCATGACCTTTTGCATGTAGCCCTGAGTTCTTGGAGGAATGAAAAGCAGTGGAAGGTGGGCGGAGGATACATAAGTGATAAATAAAACATATGTTTTCTTTGGGCTTCTGGTAGGACAAATATTTCCTGTGCAATGGGAGTGTTATGGAAGGATCAAACAGATTATGTCATTATAATTGCTATGCATCTATGTGGTTACAAGAGTATTTCAATGAGTTATTCACTGAACTATGCTTAGTAATCTCTAGATTGTCTCAATATAGAGCCAATCCATGCTGTTTTATGGGAACAAAACACATGGTAGACATGAGTCAAAGTGGCAATGGGGGAGACAGATGTGAGGGGGAGTTTGTTCTGGAGCAGAAGACAGGCAAATATGCATCACACTGAATGATTTGCAGTCTGAACAGCGGGGACATGATTGGTGCATAGATACGGCAGTAAACTCATGTTGCATTGGTTGCATCTGAAATGAACTCTGGCAATTGGCAAGTTCCTTTTTGCAAGTAAGCTTGCACTTTGTGGGCCCTTATCCTTTGTGGGACCAGGATCTACATCCGGCCCTCTAGGGGTCCAGGTGCAGACCTCTACATTTCTCTCACATCACCACAGCCCTGCGCCTTGGTCACATTCCCTTTTCCCCAAACATCAGTTGTTGTTTGGTTGGTTGGTTTTTTTCATGTTTATACCGCCCAGTAGATGAGGCTTTCTGGTGCGTGTGGATTTCCCCCCACTTGTAGTTTTAGTTTCAAGCCCCATAAAGTATTTGGGGGGCATCCCATTTGCCTTTGGCCCCACCCACCAATGGATTATGGCCTTTGAAAAACGATGTGGCCTTCAGGGTGAAAGAGCCACTGCACCTGTACTGCTCAGGAAGTCAATGGCTGAGGATCCAGCAGGCACAAGGCTGCGGCCCAGCGCTGAAGGACTATCTCCCCTTTCTTTCCCATTGGAACTAGAAAGACACTGGTGGACAAAATCATGTAGGGATCACCCCTTAAACAAGGGAATACACACAGAATAAAGCATATAAAGAGAGTTACTTTAATAACTGTGCTGTATAGTAGTTATATAATGATATAATACAAATATTGTATGAGTAATAATTGTATAATTGAAACAGCTGTACTATTGTTATTTGCATGAATTCCATTGACATTCTAATTGTGATGCTGCAAATAAAAGTTTTGGCTGCAAATAAAATCATTCTTATAAAAGATTTCTTATTAAGATGAACTATTATTGTAACTCTTCCTATACGTTCACATGGCAAGTTTTTCTACATGAGATATTGATTGTGCACCCGTGAGTCATTACATGGGGTTGCTTACATGTTCTTTACACAATGTTGTAATCCTTCAGTTATGTTCTGTTCTTCTGGAGCACTTTTCCGCTTCCTTTTTAAGAATGGGAAAAGCGGGTATTGTGGTGAATAATTACCCAATAATTGTTCTGTAGTGCCCACGCTGAGTTGGCAAATGGTCCAATGTTAATGCAATGTCTGGTTATTTTGATCTGTTTGCTTGTCCCTGGCTGCCAACTGCTGTGACATAATTTGTGATTATGAATTTGATTTCCTATATCAATTTATATTTGCGATTTAATTTTACCAGTTTCACAATTAGTTCAATTATTCTTTAGTAAAAGCAATTCACCAGTATACTCTCAATGTGTCACACATATCAGCTTTTAGCAGTTTGATCAATGCACTTTTTCCTCTTCAATTTTGTAATTACTTTGACATTCAGAAAGAATGATGTTTCTTTAAAATCTTTATGGGGACATGGAGTGAAAAGAGAAAACTATGCGGAGCTTTTTATGAGTTCTGGAGACATTCATAGATTGCTTGTGATCTTCTGAAGCTACACAGAACCCATATAAATCATTACCTACCTGTGCTGCACTGCACTGCAGCACTGATGGAAATTATTAGAAGGGCAGTGGATGCCTTACAGTCTGTGGGTAATGAAACTGGTGCTAGTTCAGTGGGGAGATGGTTTCTTTTATTAGTGTTTATTAGTGTTTTCCTTGTTGACATACTCTATGCCTGCTAATTCAACTACAGTGCTGTAAACATCCGACCTGAAAAATAATTTGCTTGAAAGAATGAAGAATTAGCAATAACCACAGCCCTTGACCTCTGCCATCGTTTTTTTCCTATTTTCCACTGGTAGTCCCCATTATCAGTGGTTTGTGAATTGCCCTGTACTGTCTATTTATTTTCAAATAGTTGTCATTGATAAGGGGCTGGAGAAGCAAGCCACCTAGCAGTCCTAGCTGACTTATGATATTTCTGACCTCTCCTTTGAACATTAAAATCTACTTCAAAAACTACACAAATGCTACAGGGGATCAAAAGATTATAGGCTATGTATATTTTGGTATTTATGTTTTCAGAGGTTGTGAACTGAGATGACAAATACAGTCATTATGCTTTCCCCTTCATTTCTAATATTTCTAGTTCTTTCTCTCCTGAATATGAATAATTGGTGAATTTTGGTAACTTATAAAAATAATCTGAAACAGAATTCTAACCTTTCTCCACTGACCAAATTCAATAGACAGAACCTGTTCAATAGAAAAAAAAGTGGTGGTGATAAAACTAATTCAGTGCCACAAACATGTTTTTAATGTTAGACAAAGAAGTCTAATATGGACTTTTAAGAGCATGACATTCACAGCCCTGGACCTGGATAAATAGTTCTGTCAGTTTCACTTCCTCTGACATGTTATTTTCCACTCTCAAGTTCTTTCTGTCCTAAATATGAAGAAATGTGCAAAGCTTGCTACAGTCTTCCAAAAGCAAGCAAGCAAGCAAACAAAACAAAAATGGAAAAAGCATGATGTTATCAAGGCAAAATAAGGCCTATCCAAGTCTAATTTTAAAACACATGAAACTGAAGTACTAAATTGTGCTGTTGATTCACTAGTACTAAAATATACCTAACTTTTTTGGTAAGTGTCTATAACCCCAGGTTGATCCTTCCCATTTCTGATGAGTTTCATGACAATCTATGGCAAGGACACAGAAAACTGAAGCTGCAGAAAATTATCAGGCTGCACTAAAACAATCACTGGAGGCAGGAATGGGCAACTTGTGATACACCAGATGTTTTAGCCAACAACTCCCATTATCCCCAACTATCGGCTATGTTTACTAGGGCTGAAAACAGTGGTAGGCCAGAACATCTGGTGCAGTGGAAGTTAGTCCCTGGACCAAGGCCAGAGGGAAAGCTCTGCACCAGTCTGAACTTCTTGCAAAGAATTGTTTAAGAGTGATAGTATTCATGTTTGAAAACATATAGCAATACTTTTCTTTCTTAGCCACCCCACAACACAGTTAAACTAGAATGCTTGGATTTATACCCACTTATATCTATCAAATTATATGTGAATAAAATCCTCACTAATCTTCAATTACTCAGAAGCAAGCCCCAGTGAATTCAGTGGGACTTACACCCAGGTAAGCATGTGTAGAACTGCAGCCAAAGTTGTCTTCTATCCAAAGACACTGAATTAATTAATTGGATTCTAGACAAGGGGCAAGCCAGTCACAGTGGTTTTTAACTAATAGGTAATGTTTTCTGCTAAGTGAACAGAAAAGGCTTTGGTCCTCAAAAAAGCTAAATCACTTAGATTTAAGCCAATTAATCTCCACTGTGCAAACTGAATGCTATGGAAGTACAAACCTCCCAGCCTTCACTTGATTGGTGAAATCCAAAAATGGAGGAGGACAGCATGCAGGGAATTCCTAACTCTACAAATTCCTCACTTATATGACATTTATGAACCTCCCCTGGCTTGAATCTGACCATAGGTGTTTTACTGCAGTAAAACCCAGGCTTTAATTCTGACTGGCTGGTGTCAGAATTATACCCTGGGTGGGCATATTGCCCCCTATGACTGAACTCCTATTCAGACTAACATGGGAGAAGCCCCTTGAACACAGAGAGTGGGCAGCAGGGCTTAATGCTGAGAAACATGCTTGGCGTTGCACTGTACATTAGCTTACATCTGAGTCCTACCACTGAATTAGATCCAAGTATGGCATCTATCTTTCCTACACTGAAATTCTAAAGTTCTCATTATGAAGGCAGAATCCTCATACAAAACAGGACCCCGTAAGATGTGGCTAATGAATTGCACCCCTACTGGGACTTGTACTGGATAATGAACTTCAAGAGAGAGAATAGAACTGATCCAATGTCCTCCACAGCTTTGCATGCAAGAAGTCCAGCTTGCCTTAATTAGAATTATCACAATGTTTCCAGCTGATGGTGGCGTCAACATCAGGCTATGCAATGCTGTGCATGCAAGCGCACATGAGACCAGGCAGAGCTGGCTTTAGGCCTTGGAACGCCTCTGGGCAGGACCACCTCAGTGGAGCTCTTCTCAGTGGAGTGAGGAAGCCTTCTCGTCACTGGCTGTTATTCCTCTTCCGCATTGTTGCTAATCCCCATGGAGAGAGCCAGCCAGCAAGGAAACGGGGGCATCTTCTGCTTCTCCATCTCATCACTACTTTTGTCTGGACTGGTGCATGAGGAGGAAAACAAGCTCTTGGCAAGGGTGACGGGGAGGAGCAAGTCCGGGGGATCTTGTTTGTGTGCCTCTGCTTGGGTGTGGGCCACCAACTTATACGTGAGGCCACTCCAGCTACCAGGAAGTTCTCCTGCTCCAGTCCCAGCCATCCAAGTGGACAAACCCATTTTTTGCACCTAGGTTGCTTCAGTAATTATATGCTATGCCCATGCACTGAGGAATGCCAGCTGCTGGAGCACTGGCTGAAATATTATGCAGTATAAATAAATATATGTCATTCCTAGTCATGGTTAAACCCAACAAAATCAAGAGAAACCAAGGTCAGTTTATATAAAAAATAAAATACTTTATTTTTCAACTAGAAAGGTGCAAACATGTAACTTTTGGTCACACTTCAATAGGTAACAAACTTTTTCCAGGTGGAAAGCTTGGTCAGCTACAAATGAGCCCCACATTTCACTTCAGGTCTTGTTCATCATAGCAGAGAGAACTCTTATTTTCCCCTCCTTGATTTGACGAAATGCTTTGAAAGGATATTGGTGCTTCTTCAGAAAAGCATCAATTTAGCTCACCACTCCTCTTTAGCTAACTGAACAAAACTGCCATTAGGGAATCTATTTCATGTGTCAAATGAAAGCATTTGGATCAGACAAGCCTTCAATCATTAAAAAAATGCAAACACTGATGTATCAAAGCATTAACAAACAGAGGCAACAAAACTTTAAATTAACTTAGATAACTGTACAATATATATACACACACACACATACAGTATTTACAGTATTACAGAATTGTAATATTACAATATTAATTAAAAATCTAGCTTGTGACAGGCAAATTGCCACAAGCTGTCCAGTCTAATTCCAATTCATTTTGAACAAACCATCTGAATCAGAACTTCAAAGCAGAAATATTGCCATTCTTAAAGAGCACGATGTCTTAGCACCGAGCTGGGTCAGAATTTCCAGTCCAGATGTTACTGGCATGGAAATCCACGTCAGTCACCTTGCTAAGGGTCTTTTGGATTGCACGATTTGGTGGGACACATGCTACCACACCATGAAAATGTTGCTCAAGACTGCACATGTCCCCTTACGTAATTCTTATATATCACCATCCCTATACTCTATTCTGAGGCACAATTTAGCTGTGGTCCCTCGCTCTCTATCTTATTATTTGTTTTCCTTCAAACCAATGTTTGGGGTCAGGAAATAGTTTTGTCTTATGTCACATGGAGGAGTTTGTCCTTGCTTCCTTCTTTAACAGACGTTTAAATACCTTGTGCTATTGAATCATGTTTTACAAAATGAGATGCAATTATCAGTTCAAGTTGATGGTCAGGTTTCAAAGTCCCCCTTTGGGCCTTATGCCATGTCTCCATACATCTTCCTGTAGTTCACCGATTCAAAGATGTCATTGTCCCCAGGGCAGTTGTAATGGCATGCGCAGGTCTTGATGAACATCATTCTCTTCTTCATGACCTCACCATCGGGGCACTTGAATTCCACTGGGAGAGTGGCTGTTCTGTGTGGGGTGCAGCAACGGCCATCAGTGCAGACGCCGCAGAACTTGGCTCGGTATGTCTTCACACTGGTGCAGCCAGACAGCTCGAATTTAATTGGCTTAGAGATCTTGGGAGTACGAATGCACTTTTTGCCCTTCTGTTAAGAAAGGAGGAGAGAATTCACATATTTACATTTCAGATATACATGATATCTTTACTTTCTTCCCAGTTTTTCCTACTCTCCCATCTTAAATACATTGGCTGGATCCAGACTGAATGAGCTAAGCCTCAGTGGAATCAACTCAGTCATGGATAGCTTGCTCCACTGATATCAAGTTCCACTATCATTGTCTGGGTCTGTTTCAATAGATATAATCCAACTGGTGTTGATCTGTCATTTATTTCATTGGTAAAGAATATGCTCAAGGAAGTAAATGAAGCCAGGCTGCAATCCTACATCTATTTATCTGGAAGTCAGTTCAACTGGACTTACATCTGAGTAGATACACAGAGAATTATTATTTTTAATGTGCTTCAATTTGTCTAGCTCATGTCCTTTAACTTGAAATTACATTCCTGACAGTGAGATTTTCATCCTTATATTTTCATCAGCTATCACATGCCTGGTAACCTTAAAAGTCCTCTTCATATTTGTTTACAGTCAGCTTTGTGCTATCATTAGAAATAGTTTTGCAATGATACATAAAAATATTTAGGGGAAAAACCCAAATCTAAGGGGATTTCCAGAAGTTTTGGATAGCAGAACACATTGGCCATGAGTCCTGGGACTTGCAGTCTCAGGATCTGGCAGGCTTCAAGTTGGAGAAAGCTTCCCACAGGGAAGAAATATGGACTGACTACTATTGACAGAATGGGTGGAAGGGAGAAAACTGGTTGGGACTGGGAATGAAATGGAGTATCCTCAACAGGAACATTTGAATTGAGACATTTTGTTGCAAGTCCCAGTTGTACTAAATTTGCATTTGGTTAAAAATCAATTTGCTGTAGAGTTTGTTTTAGACAGGGCACTTTCTCCAAGACTTTCGAGAGAAGTACAAAACTATTTACCTTGATGCTTTCTTCCAGGTCTGCTTCACATGGCCTCACCATGCAGAGTCGGCTTTGCTTCTCTAGTCTGCAGTGGGCATTGTCATTGGTGACTCTGGTGGAGATGCCCATTCCGCATGTCTTTGAGCAGGCACTCCATTCAGTGGTCTGGACCAGACAGTTGGCACGCATCATGGATGGATCAGGGCCATAGGTATCTTCCAGTCGGTAAGCTGAAAAGCACAGTAAACATAAAGCAATTAGATTCTGGTGCTGAGCTCGGTGCAGAATATACAGAATCCATCACTAGAGGAATACATGCTAGGCACAGAAAGAACTTCTGCCTGAGTCTCCCCCAGCTTGGTGCTTTCTAGATGCATTGCACTACTGCTCCCAACCCCCCCCCCCAAGGGTTCTGGCAGTTGTAGTTCAATGCACTTGAACAGCAGTAAATTGGGAGAGGCTGCTTTGCACAGTTTTGGCCAGGACGTCCACACGGCAACACAACTTCTGCAGTGGAAACTCCAACTCACCAGCAAGAGCAGGTCCAACTGCAGTCTGCTCCTTGTCCTTGGGCTCATCGCATACCCACTCCTCGCAGCACTTCCCGGGGAGCTTCACCCTCCGTGGGTAGGGGCAGTCGGGACTGGGGAGACGGACATCCATGCTGCAGAGAGGGACACAGCCCACCGCGCCATCCAGGCAAGTGCACTGGTATTTGCAGCTGCTCTGGAAGGACTCGCCGCTCCGGTACACCATGCCCCCGAACACGCATGGGGCGCCGTCCTTGGCTGCAAGCAAGCACAAGAGAGAACCTCAGTCCCTCAGGTCTTCCGAAACGACCCCGAGACGATTCTGGCCAAGGCCTCCCTAAGGTTTCTGAAGGAAGGAACGGGCTGCCCCTTTTCAAAAAGAAAAAGGCACAGTACTCCGTTCTGGGAAACTTCCCAAGGCGCTGCAGGCAAGCAGCGTCTCTCCTGCGCTCGATTCTGGGCGCAGTTCTGCAGGTGCCCCCTAGAGGAGACAAGCGCGGCACACTGCCCCCTAGAGGCGGCACGTCTTTCGGGCTAGCGCGGCGGGACTCACCGGTGCATACGCCGATCTTGCGGTTGGCCGGGGAGCCGAAGTCACAGAAGAGCCCCTTGTGGGGATCGCAGGGGTCCCGCTCGGTGCACAGCTCTCCCAGCTGCTTGGCGCACACCCGGCAGCATCCGCAGCCGTCTTGCACCAGGCTGACCCCAGGCGGGCACTGCGGAGGCGCCGACGGGCATTGGCACTGGCCGCTGCAGTCCTGGCTGGACACTTCCTGGGGAGGAGAGAGAGGGGGACGGAGACGGCGGGTCAGGATCCATCCGGAGCAAAAGAGAGAAGCATATCGGCCCCCCACCCGTGTTTCAAAAAGCCAGGCTTTCGGAGCGATTGGGGACGCAGGGGAAGCCAGCAGGCACTTACCGGGCTAAAGAGCACCAAGAGGAGCGCCAAGGCCACGCTGCTGGGACTCATCCTTGCCAACATGCTCGGACTACTACCTTCTGGAGCGGACGACACTTGCAAAAAGCTGCGCGGAGCTGCTGGGAGTCGAGCGGATCTCCTGGTCCGGTGAGTCGCGGTAGCTTTTTACAAAATCTCGCAGGCTTGCGAGGGTCACTCCCGTCCGATGGTTTCGCTTCGCAGACTCTTGAAAAGCGCCTTCCTTTCTCAAGGATCGCTCACTTTCTCTCTCTCTCTCTCTCTCTCTCTCTCTCTCTCTCTCTCTCTCTCTGCCTTCCCTCGCCTTGCAAGCAGAGCGATTGTCGGTTTGAGACTCTAGCGGCCGGCCGGGCTGCTTTTATACACTCCAGGCGCCCAGGACTCGCCAATCGGCTGAATGGAGTCCTACAAAAACAGCGACATTCCTGACATTCCTCTCCACCTTCCTGCCTCATCAACTCACACCGGATTGATCCTGACCCCTTGACACTCCGCATTCCTGCTGTCTGAAAAAGCTGGCGTACTTCAGCGCACAAAAAAGGCGCTGTATTTTCACCGGGGTTGGGGGGGAAGGTGTGCGTGTGGAGGGGGTGAGTTTTCTCCAGCTTTCAGCCGAGAATTCTTCCCACCACCACAAGCCTGATTTATAGGACTTAAAAATACGTCTCCTTTGGAATACACACATTCTCTTTCCCGCTTTCAAAGGACTCAACCAGGATTCCACAAAAAATCTCTCTCTGTGTGTATCCATCATTCTTTCCAATTGCATAAATCGAATTTAAAGATGTTTCAAGACCAAAAAAAGAAAGTGTGAAAAAAATTGAAACATATTATGATGTAATAAAAAGGGAAGAAAGAAAAGGAAAAGATTACATTTGAACCATTTGGGAGGGATATAACAAAAGCAGGCTATTCCGCCTTTAAAGATACAGAAAAAAGATTGTAAAATCTGTTGTGAAGTTGGAATTCCTCCCCAGCTGTAATAGAAAAGTGTGCAATTAATAGATTCAAAAATCATCTCCATTCTTATCCAAACTGCAGATTCTTCATTTTGTTCTTTTTTGGGGATTCCACATTTTTGCAGGTTCAATAGAACTCCCCCCCCCAGCACTGTTCAATGCACTGTTGCAGGTTCAATACACTCCCCTCCCCCGGGGCCACCCCATTTCTTTTAATTGATGGAGGAGATCCATGTGCATCAAAGGAATACAGCTGGAGGAGGCTTGATTTCTTCTATAGACATGAATGGGGAATGCCTATACTGGAATTGATACCTTTGTGATGCAAGGTATGCGCTTAAGCAGTTTCAGTATGATGCCTCTCTGGATTATGTCTGGTCTGTGATATCCACCAGCCACACTGTGGACAGTGAAGCATGACTGGACTGAATGGGTATCTAGCACATCAGTAGCACTAGGCAAATAGGCCACATTGTCTGGAACCATTTCTGGAACAGGCCCATTAGCCCTAATGAAACTACTCTGGAGTAAATGGGTTCAGGCACAGAGCCACAAGCTGTATTCCTAGAGAAGTGTATAATAATCAACACTGCATTTGGTGGAATTAATGTGGACGAGGTCCTTTCTCAGAGACTCAGGATCCCTCCAGAGAAACAGGTAAGAATGTGTTAGTTCCTTGATCTCGTGCCTTTAGTGACAAGTGGAGAGTTCAAGTGGGGGAAGGGGAGGGGGGAGGTTGCCAGGATGGTTGCTAGGAGCAACCCTGGGAATTTTCTTTTTCTTATCTAGGCAAGAAGACACAAGGCACTAGAAATATCAAAGCCAAGCAGTTTCCTGCTAATTTCTTCAGTGGCTTGTGACGACTGACTTTCTGACTTCCCCACCTTTCCCCCTTGATCTGCTCCGCCGCAGAAAGCAGATTATTTGGGGAGGCTTCTTATTAGATCACTCAAGTCATACATTATACAGTGTCTGGTTTGCCGTAGACTCTGTGGACTGCTGAATCATACTGGGATATTTTCCCTAATAGGTACTTTCTATGAATAGAGAGAAAGAGGTGGCCAGGGGTGGGGGAAGGAGAGCCTATTTCTCCTGAAAGGTTTGGCATAATAAAGCGAGGCTGAAGCATGGAAGATGTGGCTGTGCTTTTCCCACTGCGTTTGTCTTAGTCATAAGCAATACCTTCCACTCTAGTGCTTCTGTGTTTTTCTGTCTCTGCCTACACAAATCAATCTTTTTTAAGCAAAAGTGACAGAGCCCACTGTTTCTTGAAACATGGCATTTGGATACTATTTATGACGTTTCGATCCTATCCGCACAACTGCTCTTTGAAGTGGCATGGCTGAGAAACAGTGACGGGGTCAAGGGCACCTGCTAAGGTTTATGGCCTATGGCAGAGATCTGAAGTCAGGACTTCCCAGGGTAACCAGCTATCTGTATGGTGCAGGGAGTGGAATGATTGGTTCAAACACACAGGAAGGGTAGAATAGCTTCATTGTGCTCACCTATGAAGTACACTGGTGATCTTGGGTAAGTCATTGTTTCTCCACTATCAGCATTACAGGGTTGTTGCGAGACTTAAACATTATTTTGAAAACAGTTGGTAAAGGAATTGAAAGAGCTGAACATCTGCCAAGCCTTAAACCCACAAATGTTCTATGATCTGGTTGGAACCCTGCCAGGAGACAATGGGGCCTGATAGCTCCTAAGATGCCTTGAGAGCTTCTGGTGCATTCTCTGTTCAGGTGGATCCTAGACCTACTGAAGAGACTTTGTTAGGTCCAACTCCAAAAGAAGCTGCTCTTTGGTACAGGAGTCCACACTCCACCACCACCAATCCATACCAACTTCACACCTTATTTATTTTAAGGAACACACGGTGGCTGAAATGGTCCTCCTCTTCCTCTCCATTTTATCTTCACAAGAACCCTATGAGGTAGCTTAGGTTGAAAACCAGTAACTGGCTCAAAGTCCTCCAGTGAGTTTCATGACCAAGTGGGTACTAGCTTGAGTCCCCAAAAAACACTGTAACTACTACACCACATTGGCTTTCTTAAGCCTTCACTTTCCTAACTTTGCCTGACTGTTAAGAGACCTTGTACGATAAACTGCTACAGGGCCTTCAAAAGCCCTGTTCTAGCCTTGCTGTCCTTGGGGGAAGGGTAGGGCAGAGCGGTAAGAATCAGGGATCCACTCAGTCTATTCTCTTGAGAAGCTGATTGTCACGTGAACCTTAGAAATTTGTACTTGGGAAGTCTCACTGATTTCTTCAGTACTTCTTTAGGTTAGAGTATTATTCGCATTTAGCTGTTGGCTACTCTCCAAGTATCTCATGAGTTGTAGTTCAGGCTGAATGTGACTAGATTTTTCCAAGCATCTGATAAGAGCTTCCATGATATGTTCCCGTGGTATTTCTGTTAGGTCCAGAGAGTTATCCACCCTCAGTACAACGAATGGCTGTGTTTTGATTGAAATCTGGCTCTCTGAGATTAGAGTGGGCAGAGATCAGGGAACACATATCTTGTCACTGTTCAAGGAATACATTAGATGAACTTCAGGTCTCATGAGAGGGACTCCCACCCTTTACCTAATGGTAGTACTTGAAAATACATCCACATGTTGAACCACCAGTGTTCACATCTATTCATTTCAAACTGGGAACACACTGGAGGCATTTTCAATGAATTAGGCTTGCAATCTTTCCCTTCATTCTCCACCACAGCAGAATACAGGATATAGCCTCTTTCCAATACCACATTGGTTTTGATTTTTTTCAAAAAAAAATCTCTTTTTTAACAGGAAAAATAATCCCCTCTCATTTGTTTAAGTCTCATAAAAAGGAGTTATGGTAAGTAATACACATCTCCAAATTTATGAGGTATCCCAAAACCTATATTTACTTGGACGACTACAAGCAAAAGGCTGCATTTACCCACTTCTGAGTAAATAATAGACACACCAAACTATGTACAACATGCTTACGAAAATGGAAACATAACCAGGTAAACAGAATGCCGCTTCAAAATGCCCAAATATGGTAGGTGATGGTAGGAAAGAGAAGGATTCTTATTGTGCCTTTCACTGAATCCTAAATAAGGAGACCAAAATGAAAGTCATTTGAACTGGCCCACGCCAATGAGCCAAACACATGTTGTAAGCAGACGTGGGTAATTCCAGATGTTTTGGCCAACAACTCCCATCAGCCCAAGTCAATGTGGCCAATGGTGAGGAAAGAATTATGTTGTAGTCCAACACATCTGGTGGGCAACAGTTATTCACCCATGCTGTAGAGGAAAGAAAAAATGAAGACTGCCAACTGATTAAATGATTTAAGTGATTTATCATCTGGCTTTAAACTAATAGGTCAATTTATTCATTCATCACTTAAATTTAAGTACATTTGCTTATTATTATTTTACCACAGTTTCAATAGATTGTTTAAGATGTTTCAGAAAGTGTTTAAAGCTTATTGTATAATAAATAAAAACTAATGCTGATTGCTAGATTGGAAAAAAACTTTATAAGATATATGCATTTTCATTCTCTAATAAAATGATAATCAACATAGCCGAAAAATTATGTCCTTAACTGTGAATGTCACCAAAGGCTTTCTGCTCTCATAATTCAGTAATGACTGCTTTAGGTTGCAATTCTGTGCACCTTTCCTAGGATTAAGGTTTACTGAACTCAGTGCATTTGCTTATAAGTAGGCAGGCATAGGATTGCTTTGCTCGCTGATTAATCCATTAATTGAAGATTACTACCCTACCATACAAATTACTCTGCACAGTTACTGTCAGTCTGACCTGGGCTGAAGTTTCTTTGCTTTGAACATGACTTGTTCTAAGCACAAGCAAAACCCTACCATACAAGTCATTCCAAAAGAAAAGTAACTGGGTCTATGTTCTTAGTACCACATCCTTTTTCTGGTTGGGCATACTAGATCTTTCAGAGAAATGGTGGGGAATGTCCAAGATCTAATGAAAGTGGGGAGGAAGAGGTGATAATTCCCCCCCCCGCCCCCGAACTCAGTGGTTCCATACAGAAATGGATCAAACAATATCCCTTATAAAGTTTGTCTGAAATTCTTTTAGCAAACAATATCATCAGAATTTATTGACATCAACACTTAGCTTGTACTTTAGGTTGGGTGTTTTGCAGTTTGTTCATATCAAGTTCACAAAAATCCTGTGAATATCATATTTTTATACTTGCAGAACAAAAAAAAGCAACTTCCCTATGAATCCGTAGCAAATCAGTGACAGGGTTAAGGTGTAAATTTCGCCCAAGGAGGCCTAATTCACACATGCTTGTACATCTCTTAATTACTCAGACATGACCCCTGAAAAC